GTGGTCAGGCCTTGGAATGAGTTGCCCAGGGAAGCGGTGGAGTCACCATCTCTGGAAGTGTTCAGGAGGTGTCTGGATGTGGCACTTGGGGACGTGGCTTAGGGTTGATGGTGGGACTGGATGATCTCTTCCATCCTTGGTGATCCCATGACAGAGGCACAAGGTAGGGAGAAATTAGTTGCATTTAAGGGAGTTATTGCGATGCCCCGAGAGCGGGTGGTTTGCAAAAGGCAGGGGGTGAAGGTGGCAGCAGCCCCACACCGGGGAGTACCTGGCTGGGCTGGACCTGGCTGTGCTCTCTCTTTCCTAAGCTCCCGAGGCTCAGCTGTGCCCACACGTGTAGGTGGGCTGTGCTGGATCCGTGGTGCCGCAGCAGACGGTCCGTGGGCAGCACGGTGAGGTTTGGGGACACTTGTGCCCGTACCCACAGCTGCTGTGGGCTGCAGCTCTCCCACAGCCCTGCTGCGTAAAGATCCCTTGACTGCAGCTCATCTATGCATTTATTTGGTTCCTTAAGCATTTATGTCAAGCTTCTTTATGTTTGTGTGCTTCTTGCTGTCTTATTTTCCTCGTATTTTGGTCCTGCATGCGAGGTCTGGCTGTTACCAGCAGTCTATATCCAGGTCATGCTGCATACAGATGTTTTTCTTCTTTAGTGCCACGTGTTCATTACACAAACGTTAATCCTTGGGTCAGCTCCTCATTAGTCCACACAAGTCCTACCTCCCCTGTAGCCACGATAATTAGCCATTGCATATTTCCATATTTTCCTGCAGAACATCGCAAGAGAGCTGTGAGATGGTGGGGAAAGCGCTGAGGCAACCCTGGGGTGGGAGTCGGTCCCTCCAACTTGTGCTCCTTCTCACTCCAGCCTTAGTCTTCCCTGCGCTGGGAGCCAGGGGGTTGGTTTCTCTTGTTTCTTCAAGGTTTGTTTGAGGGATTTTGTGCCACGTAATTAAAAGGCCCCTGGAGCTGAGCTGTTGAAAGCTGTGTGGGAGCCGGGGTAAGGTCAGGTTTCTGCACTGAAGGTCATGTTTTTGGTGCAGGCGACTTGAGCTCGTGGCAGGGACGAGGTTCAATCGCCGAGCCAGTGCAAAGATCAGGTGTTGCTAGCGAGGTATTCCCTGCACCTTCCAAAGATGGCGTGAGATTTCTCCCCTAATCCCCCACTTTTCTGCTGACATTATTCCAGTTCCACTGTGTCCATCCCGTCCAGCTGCTCCGCTCTCGGGCTGTGGCTCCTCGCGCTGGTGCTGCCCCTCTGTGAGGCTCTATCGCCCCTCAGTCCAGATTTTTGCACTGGGATTTTCTGATGATCCCGATTGCTGGCTCTGCTGGAGTTTTCTTTGTCTCTTCCCTCTCTTTTTCTCTCTCTTTTTTTCTTCTTCCCCATTTTTTTCTTCCCCAGTAGTGCAGTTCGTCCTTTGCCTGGCAGTTTTCTTCTCCTAACCTTTCAAAAACATAGTTCTGAAAATATGAGCTGTTGAGCCCTTGTTCTGAGATGGCAGGTGCTGGTTGTTGCTCTCCAGGGGTGCTGAGGGAGGCTGGCAGGGTGGGGAAGGATGAGATGGACAAGCTGCCTGTCCCCTCTGAGCCTGGAACCTCCTGCTCTGTACCCCACGAAACACAGGCTGCTCACCCCCGAAAATCCCAGTATTAGAAATCCTAGACATGTGTGCAGAGGGAAGGTGGTTTGGCAGAGCCATGCGAGCATCCTGAAAACATTCCATGGGATATTTAATAATTTTGTGTGATGGGGATGGCAGAGGTCCCACTTGTTGGGAAGCACTGAGGGCTGTGCTGGGGACATACATACGTGCACACACACACTGGTAAGGAATTTTTTCCTTTGTTTTGGGTTACAATGCTGAGTAATCAGCACAGCTCAGACAGGACTTGATAGAGTCTCCCCATTTTTGCTGCTGTGGATGTATTTCTGTGAAAACCCTGCAGGTTGGTGTCACTGACTGGTGTTACTGACCACTGCATTCTCTGGATCAAAGGAGAAAGGGGCTCTTTGTGCCCTTTTCTTTTTTTCAATAGTGTCCTGCTAGAATAATTAGCTTGTCTGAAGTTACTATATTTCTTCTAAACACAAGCTTCCAGAACCGAGGAAGGCCAGCAGTGTGCCTCTTACTGTCAAGGATTACCAGGAATTAATCTTTCAGTGCAAAGGCCACTAATCTCGGGCATGCAAACAGGGTTTGTTTAACTGCGTGCCAGCGCTTAGAGCAGTGATGTATGAAATCCCTGGCAAATTCAGATGCTCCTGCTGCTAATCGCCTCCCCACCTGCTCATCCAGCTCCGTCCCCTGCATCCCGGAATCTGCCTATGGGTGTCAGTCACTGGAGACGGATGGTGACACATGGAGCTGCTGGTTGCCAGCCTGGGCTCTCCTGTGCTGCCTGGCCCGCCCTGGGGCAGCTTTGCTCTCAGTAAGTCCCAGCTTTCCTGTTGTGCTGGGAGCTGCCCGGGAGCTCAGCCTGGGACTCGGATTTTTAAGCAAATAACCAAGCTGGGAGCAGTGGGAGAACTGGCTGATCTACTGACGTACGATGAGCATCTTGCCATGTTCCTGGTGCAGCTCACAGGTAACACCTGGGGGGGGGGGTGTGTGGGATTCACTGAATGTGCTACCATGTAGGATTTTCTGGAGTTGACAGAAGTAACTGTCGGAATTCTGCTGCTCTCATCAGTGTGCCTGGCCAGCCCCTGGGTCAGGTTGATGATTGTGAAGCTGTAACAGTGGTATTTAAGCCAGGAGTGCAGTAGACAAACGTGCACGAGCCCAACAGTAGTTTCTGAACCTGGGAACCAGTCTCTGAAAGGAAATGGTTGGGGACAAAATGTAACTTCAAAGCCTTGGTGTCTCTCTCCTTTCCCTTCCTTGCTGGTTTGTTTTCTCTCTGTGTTCTAATAGATTGCTGCAGGTGTACTTTGGTGTTTGCTAAAGCACACTTCTTGAGGGCTTAAAACCAGCATGTGTAATCCCATGGCACAGTGTATCCCAGAATCCAGTTTATTCCTAAAAGCACAGGGAGCTGAGCACTGCTCATTTCCTACATTTGCCAATGTTGGCAAAAGGTAAATCCTTATTTATAGTAAAGCCTGTGTCAGCCCATTTCTGGAGTTCCCCTGATGCTGGGTGGGACAAGTCTGGTAAGTGTTCAGAGGAGTCCAGGGGACTCCAAAGTGTCACCTGAGGGGTTCAGGGGGACCTGAGGCACCCCAGAAAGTGAGCTGGGGAGGTCAGAGGAGCCCAGGGGTGCCCAAAATAGAACCCAGAGGAGCTCAGAGGTTTTCATGGTACCCCAAAAGATGACCTGAGGAGGTTGGAGGACTCCAGGGGACCTGAGGGGTTCAGAGGAACCCAGGGTACCCCAAAATGTCACCTGAGGGGTTCAGAGAGACCTGGGGCACTCCAAAACAGGACACAAAATAGTTCATAAGGTTCCAGGACCCCCAAAATATGACCGTACAAGCACCGGCCTTCATGGGCTTTTTAAGTGTTATCACTGAAATGCTTTTAGGTGTGTGACAGTGTCAGAGTACCTGTTAATAGTTTTAATTGGAGTTTTGGGGCAGAGGTTTGTGTTCCTGCTGCTTTATTAACTAGTTGGATGCCTGGGAGCAGCACAATCCCATGTTTCAGTTGAGGTTTCCAGTGTGTTTGGCTCTTGGTAATGGGAGGGATCTTAAACCAGGCTTTTCAGTTCACCTCGGGGATTGTTTTGTGCTTCTTTTTTCCCCTGGTAATTAAGGAAAACAGCCAAGCTCTGTTAGCAGGGTTGGAAAACCAAGTCCTGTCCCGGGTCTGGCACGGGACCCGGTGAAGATGGATACTTCCCTTGATTTATGCCTGGAACATTGAGATCTTCCCTGTCTCTCCGGCCCCTTTCTGAGCGTGTGCTGTGAAAGCTGCATCCATATATAGCCCCAGCATGGACCTGGATTGATCCCGATGGAACGGGGTGCAGTGCATTGTTAATGCAGCCTCTCTTCCCGTAAAACACACCTCAGCACCTACTTCCAGAGGGGAAGATCACCCACAGCAACCTGCTGTGTGCCTTGCTCAGAGTCACCTTCTGCTCATCTTTAAGCATCTCCCCTTTTTCTTTTTTTTTTTTTTTTTTTTTTTTTCCCCCGATCCATTTTTTTTCTAGTGAGGAATCTTCTAGCCCAAGTTTTTTATTTTTAAATGTTTAGTCACTGCATTATGGGAGTGCCTGATGGCTCACTCCTAAAAACTGACTCTTCTGAAAACCCCTGGAGAGACGTAAGGGAAGTCCTTGGGGGTGAAGGGCACACTGGCACCTGTGCCATGTATGGCTCTGGAAATGCTGACACTGAGCTGACACTCGCTGGAAACCCAAATTTTCTCCTTCCCCCTTACCTTCTGTATAGCATTTCCCTGCAAATAGAGAAATCTGCTGATTTTGGCCTTTCCAGGCTGGCTTGCTACAGGAAAACTGAGCAAACCCCCGTGGCTTGCTCCAGTGCTGGTCCCTTCCCTCCTGAGCAGAGCAGCTTGGAATGGCCAAGGACACTTCGTTCTGCTTGGCACAAAGGACAGAGAGGTGCTTGTGTTGGTGCCTCATGGTCATAGTGGCTGAGCCTGTCAGCTTTTACCCTGCTCTGTGCCCAGGAGAGAGGATTTTCTGCAGCTTCAGCTTGCTTCTGAGCACATTTTCTGTATCCAGTGGGATGTATTTGGAGCCCCAGTTCTTGGCTGAGATGACAGGAGAGTGGCGGTCAGACCTGAAGGTGGCTGCTGGCCATGGCATTTATCATATGTAGGATGGCAAATCTGACGTAACGCAGGGTTTCTTACTTTGAAATGTGTTGGGAATCTTGTCTCTGGCTTGGTTTAACTCTTGGAGCAAATTCCATGCTGCAAGGGAGTGGCAAGCATGGTCCCTGATGGAGGTAGGTCTTGGGATCCCAGAGGTCCTTGCTGGAGGAGCTACCAGGATCTCTCGTGAGTGGCACCAAGAGTGACTGCATTCTCTCTAGTGCTGTTTCTGTAGACAGCACTACCCACAAAATATATTCACTGTGAAGGAGCTGCTCAGTTTCCAGCCTGTGCCTGCAAAGGAAAATATGCTGTGGTTCGTGATCTCATCAGCTTCCATTTTCTGTGACTTCTGAATATTTGGCTTGTGGAATTCGGGTTGGAGGCTGTGTTAGGACAGTAGTGGGCTTGTCTTTCAGTGACCTGGTACCATGTGGAGTTGTAAATGTAGAGCTTTAAATCCCAGAATGTTTTCCACCTTTGGAGGAGTTCTAGGCACTTTGGAACAGGGTATTGAAGAAGCAGGGCAGCCTTAAAACAGTTCTTGTGTTCCCATTGCCAGGCTTGGAAGAAAAAAAACCTTGTAAATGGGAATGAAGTTTCACAGCAAGTGCAAACATGGTGCAAATGTTCCTCCTTTCCTCATGTGGTGTGGTAAGGTTTTTGGGCACCTTGAGCTTCATTTGAAGCAATCCTGTTTTCTCTCTTTAAATCTTTCATCCTAATGCAGAGAATCACAGGAAGGAATTGTTGGCCTGTGAGATATCAGTTGGAAAAAAAGGCTCTAGGAAAGCCAATTCTGGAAATCTGGGAGCAGTATAATAATTTTTGGTCTCATTTATACTCTTGTGCCCTCACTGGGCTGGTGAGGCTGGTTTTGGGTTGCTCTGGGAGACATGACTGAGGTTCAAAACAGCCCCAAATCCTCCCGTGGGAGCACATGAGGGGTTTGACTCTGACCTTCTCACTTCTCTTGGTGTGGGCTCTCCACGAGGATGAACTGAGCTGCGACTGAGGAGACTGAACCCGGGTCTGGTGCCTTGGTCCCACCGTGCACAGTCACCTCTGAGCATTAACCTGACACCCCAAATTCGTACCAGCACAAAAAATGTTGCTGCATTCACGTCTGGGGATCATGTGCTGCCTCTGTGAGGGAACATATCCGATTGCGTCTGATGGAGAGCCCATAAATTATAAATTTTTTGGAAGGGGGATGTTCACGAAGTGGCTGGAGAGAACCCTTGGTCTGTTCTCCCAGGAGGGTCTCGGGTTGTCTTTGTGATGCTTTGGCTGGTTGTGGCCACATCTCTCAGCTGCCTCAGTGGTTCCCAGTGGAAGGTCAAAGGTAAATCAAAATACAGGAAACTCAGCTAAGCCTGAGGAAACTTGCAGTGCCTGTTTTGGAGGTGTGTTCCAAGGGGTGCTGTTGGTTCTGGGGCACACGCGGAGCCTGTGCCAGCCCTGCAACCTCATCTGGCTGCAGGGCAGGTATGACAAGCTGGGGAAGCTGGAGGTGAGGATCAGCTGAGGGGCTGATTTGGGATCTCCTTACTCAGTCTCTTCCTAGGGACATACAATGCCTGGAGGAACTGTGCTGCAGGCTTAGCCTGCTGCTGCTGATCATCCCAAACTGAGCACGACTCTGGGAGCTTTGGGACAGGCCTGTCCGGTCACAAAGCCAGCAGTGGTGTTCCTGTGCCTCTTCAGGAGCGTTTTACTTGCAGTTGCACCAGCCTCCCCCTCCCCTTTACTCCTCACCAGCTGTTTAAACAAGTCGTGACTAGGCTGATCTTTTGGTGCAGGAGATAACCTGGAGGAGAATTCCTCAGGAATGCTTTTAGTTACTGGCTGTCTTCCTAGGCTTTTCAGAGGGCTTGATGAATTCTGGGAATGTCCCTTCCTTTTATTTTTAAATTGTTCTTCAGGTTCCTGCCTTTGAGGCTGGGTGTTTCCAGGTAAAAATTACTTAAGAGGAGAAACAAGTACTTATTAATTACTGCTCAGTTCTCCATCGCCATGGTCTCCTCTCTTCATTTTAATGATCTCCTCTTGTTAATCCATATGCTGAAGGCAGGAGACGTGCTGGCTCACAGCATGGGGAGGGGGTGGACAGTCAGAGCTGCTGCTGAAGACTCACGAGCATTTGTAGGTTTGCTTCTGCTCCTTCTTGTATGCCAGGTTGGAACTGAAGCCTTCTGTGAGCAGTTGGGACACACTAATCCATTAGAACATTATCCATTTCCCAGGAGCTGTGTTAATTTCTGCCCTGGGCCTGAGTGAGCTGAGTCTGATCGTGGAAGGTCCCTGGGGCTGGCACGGGTGGATGGGGGGTGTGGGCCTCCTGCTCTGGCATGAGCTGGGCACTCAGTTCAGGCACTTTCTCAGGGCTTGACTCATGCCCTAACTGGCAGGGTGAGTGCTGGCGGTGCAGCGTGAGAGCTTCCTCAAGGTTTGTCCTGTTCCTAAGGAACCTGGTTGGGTTTTTTTTCCGGAAAAGAACAATAAAAATCCTTTTGCCAAGAACACAAGGAGTTTTTCCACTCCTTGTTACCTGCTGGAGCCGACTGCCTCCCTTCCCAGCACAGCCATTGGAGCCCGTGGGGCCTCCAGGTGCTCCTCCTGCACCACAGGGCGTAATCCAGCATCCCAGCTCAAAATGGGGATGGAAATCCTAGGGATAAGTGGCTGCCTGTGCTTCCCAGTAGGTTAGGAAGCAGTGGGTGAGCAGTGTCCATTGGCATTCAGGTGCTGGTCAGTGCCAGGTGTCTCCTGTCAGAGCAGGGTGTCTGTCCATCCTGGTGACAGCAGTGTCCAGCTCTATCACTGCTTGTCCATGTCATTCCCTACTCCCAAGTGTGGGAAAGCTCTTGTTCAAGTTTAATGCTGCCTTTTCCATCATCTGGATAATAATGGAGGTAAACCCTACAATTTCTCCTTTTCCTTTCTCCTTGTGTCTTCCCTGTGTACGGCCTCCCTATTTTTAACCTGGGGCACCCAGATTTGTTTTCCTGAGCCCTCATGACCTGTGTGACATTTTGACTTTGGAATACCTAAGACACAGCATTGTAGGCTTCCTGCATAGCCAGACGTGACTATTGTTGTTGCCAGCTGAATAGTCGTTATTTTTTTGGCTGCTCCTGGCGTTCTCACTTTTCAGTGGCTCGGAGAAGAGCCCTCCAGGCTCCCTGTGTCCACTCAGCTATTTACAGCCGCACCCAGCGGCCGTGTTTATTAAGTTCTTGAAAGTGGAATCCTCTGGAATAGAAATCACAGCACTGCAGAGTGTCTGGAGGAAGGTTTGGTACAAATGCCTCGGCCCAGCGGTGCGTTGGGACGGGCTAATTGTCGTCTTTGGTGCTCTGGTAGTTCTGCTGCTTCCCCTTGGAATTGTGGTTATTTTTCTCGCTTTTTATGAGTCTAGAAAAGGGACTTGTTGGGTTTTTCTATTTTTTTTTCTTTTTTTTTTTTCATTGTCTGTTTAGAGTGAGTTTGCTGAGAAAAAGGTAAATCAAACTAAATATTTTAATGCTCCTTCAGTCTCACATCCCTACAAGTGCTAACTGTGACAGAAGGTGGAGTGAGGAACTGGATGCTCAGTTCAGAGCACTGGGCTCTTTTGAGCCTGCAGAAAAGGACGCTCAGAGGGGACCTTCTCCCTCTCTACATCTCCCTGGCAGGAGGGTGGAGCCAGGTGGGGATCAGGCTCTGCTCCCAGGGAACAAGGGACAAGAGGAAACAGCCTCAAGCTGTGCCAGAGGAGGTTTAGATTGGATATTAGGGAAAATTTCTCTACAGAAAGACTTGTCAAGCCCTGGCACAGCTGCCCAGGGCAGTGGTGGAGTCACCATCCATGGAAGTGTTCAGAAAACATGTGGATGTGCCACTTGAGGACATGGTTCAGCGGTGGTGGTGCTGGTTGACAGTTGCACTTGATGATCTCTAAGGTCTTTTCCAACCATAACGATTCTGTGATTGTTTTGTTTTGTTTTTCTTTTAGGCTTAAACCACCTGCCCTTTGGTCCTGCCAGCACTGCCGAGTCCCTGCAGCTGGGCAGCGCTGCTGGCCCCCAGGTGTCGGAGAGCCCGGCCGAGGATGGCAGTGATCCGGGAAAGAGGAAGAGAGCAATTCCTCCAGGTGAGCTGAGTGGCAGCTCCACTGCTGGCAGCAGGGAAGGGATCCATGCAGCAAAGCCTAAAATCCAGCTGCTGTGCTGGGTGTTTGGTGGGGAAGGGTGGGAAGGTCTGGTATGCCTGGAGCCATGCTTGGGTTGTGGGATCTCTACAGATGGGAGCACGGAGATAGAATAAGGGGGAATGGCCTCACAGGAACAGGGCAGGGTTAGATGGGATATTGGGAAGAAATTCTTCCCTGTGAGGGTGGGGAGGCCCTGACACAGATTGCCCAGAGAAGCTGTGGCTGCCTCATCCCTGGAAGTGTCCAAGGCCAGGGTGGAGCAGCCTGGGCTGGTGGAAGGTGTCCCTGCCCATGGCAGGGGGATGCAATGGAATGGTCTTAGAGCTGTTAATTGCAGTGGATAAACCATAACTGAGGTGCTTTGAGGTGTTTTCCTAGGCCTGGCTGCTGTAAATGTTGGCTGCTCCAGAGGGCCAGCACCAGTTGTTTTTTTTCCCGTCTGGCTCTTCCCTGAGTGTTGGGCTCAGCTGTGGTTCTGGGTGCTGACACTGCAGAGCCTCACTGGGCAGCGTGTGCCCTGCAGCAGAGCTGGGAGCTGCTCTGAGCTCTTAATCACTTTTATTTTCCTCTCAGCAGATGGTGGCAGAAATCTGAGCCTGGACTCCATTCCGATGGGATTGCCAATGTCCGACCCGACCGCCTGGGCCACCGCCATGAACAACCTGGGGATGGCTCCCATGGGCATGACAGGACAGCCCCTCCTGCCTGGTGAGCTGAGCCAGGCCCTGCCCACCTTTCCTTTGGGACAGGTCTTTGGGAATAACCTGTTTCAGTGCACTTGGGTAAACACCCGCCACGTACAAAACACGTGGACAAGCTGTGCTTGAAATGCATTAAATCTGCAAGGGATTTATTTAGAGACCTCGTTTGAGAGGATACATATTTTTAAATGCAAATGGGGTGCATCCAGGTATTCTGCAGTGGATCAGGAGGAAGAAGGTGCCACGCAGAGCTCAGGAAACCAGTGATGCCCAGGAACACGTTACTCTAAGCTGAACTGGAATGGCTCAAAAGGAAGGGTGGGAGGGAGATAAAGGGGAAAGCAAGAGGGCAGCAAATTGGATATGGCAGAAATTAGTGGAAGATTCTGCTCCAGGAATGACCACCTTGTCCAGAATACATGTGCATAGGTCAGTCATCCTGTCCAGGATGAAAGAGCTCCTGTGAGAACAGAGCTGGGCTGTGCTTGGTTTCCCCGCAGTGCAGAACTTTGGGCATCGAAGTCCTGAACTGACCTGACCATTCCAGTGCTTTGCTGCACTAAGGAGGATGCTCTCTCCTGCCTGAACTCTTGCCTGCTCACCTGGGGAGGGAATGTCAGTGTTGGCAGGACTCTGCAATCCCCTTTCTGCTCTTTTGGCACAGAGCAGGTTGTTTGCTGTGCAGCCCGTAGATATTTAACAGCATCACTTAACTTGCCCGAAGTTTTGCCTGCAGTCTGTGCTCTTGGAATAATAGAATCATGGAATGGTTTGGGCTGGGAAGGACCTTTAAGCTCATCTTGGTCTACCCCCTGCCATGGGCAGGGACACCTTCCATTAGACCAGGTTGCTCCAAGCCCATTTGTCACAGGTGTCTTTCTGTGGACAAACCTCACTGGGAAGCGCTTGGCACTAGATGGGAGCTGGTGTCTACAGAGGGGAGAAGGAAGTAGTTTATTTTAACAGAGAGAAGTTATTTGACTGAGGCAATCAGCAATGAAATAGTTTTAAAAAGTTGTTTTAGGGCACAAATCTGAAGTTTGGTGTTGCCATGTTCCCTCTCTGGTGGTTATTCAGCTGATTTTCACTGTCACCTGTGAGAGTGTACCTCGTTTGCTGTCCAAGTTCACAGTTGCTCTGTGACTCCAATCCCTCACCTGACTCCCTTATTCTCTCTCCCTTTTAGACTTTGATCCTGCTCTTGGGATGATGACTGGAATCCCTCCGATCAACCCCATGATGCCAGGCTTGGGGATCGTCCCACCCCCCATCCCTCCAGACATGCCTGCTGTGAAGGAGATCATCCACTGCAAGAGCTGCACTCTCTTCCCTCCTAACCCACGTAACTGTGCTTTGTCCTGTCTCTGTAGCAATATCTGTGTGCTTATATTTATGTAAAGCCCAGGGGTGTGTGAGAGAAGGGCCATTCCTGTACCTGGGCACAGCAGCTCTGGACTGAGTCGCTGTGACTCACTGCTGGCAAAAAGGTGACAGGGCAACAGGAAAAGCCTCTTCCTGTCACTGACTGTTTGCCATTTCCGGGAACAGCCTTTTCAGTTGTTAGGTTGCACTTCCTGGATATTTGAAGTCTTTATCTAAGGCTTGGAGGTGAGGGGCATGGTCCATGCTGAGCCATGGGAGGGCTCTGGGGTTTGCAGAATGCGGTGGAAGGAGAGCAGAGGCAGATGGAAGTTAGAGAGAACACTGAAGAAACACAGGGCTCACCAGGCTATGTCAGGAAACTGGGATCCCCTTCAGATTGGCTGATGACCTTTTCTCCTCACTTCTTTGATTAGAAGCAGAGGGGTGAAAACCAAAACAGAGATGATACAGGGACATGTCTGTCATTGGTAGTGCGGATCTGTGTGGGAGGGTGTAGCTCAGGCAGGAGAGTCTGGAGAGTGTGGAGTTGCAGCACAGAGAATCCTCTCTATACATTTGCCAGGTATTATTTACACTAGGACAGTTTTTTAAACTGTGATTTTGTAGCACCTCCCATCATAAAGTTTTGAGTCCCTGGCGCTGCTCGTGTTCTGTGACAGCAGCTCAGCGAGCTCTGCTTGCACTTGGGAGGGTGTTTGAAGGGCTCCAGGCGCCTGAGATCTTTTGTTTGGAAACAGGCAGGTAAACGTGTCCTTGAAGGATGCCAGAAAGGTGTGGTCATCTCTCAGGAGAGGTGGACAGATGGAAGGCGCACGTGCTGACGAGCCTAAAACCGACCTGCTCTGATTCCTCTCTTCAGATCTTCCCCCTCCAGCCACGAGGGAGAGGCCCCCGGGGTGCAAGACGGTGTTTGTTGGAGGGCTGCCGGAAAACGGGACGGAGCAGATCATCATGGAGGTGTTTGAGCAGTGCGGGGAGGTCATCGCTATCCGCAAGAGCAAGAAGAACTTCTGCCACATCCGCTTTGCTGAGGAGTTCATGGTGGACAAGGCACTTTACCTGTCTGGTGGGTGTGCTTGTCTCAGACAGCAGCTTAAAATTCTGGGACAGAGATGTGGTCCTGCCTTTATGGGTGGAGCAATGGGATTTGGAGCAGATTTGTCTAGTGCTGTGTCAGTTTGCCCTTCTGCTGCCGGTGCATTTCTCCTTAAATACATGTAAGGTAAAACATACAGATTTCCCAAGAATGCCAAGGCAGTGGAAGGATGAAAAAAAGGTATATTGAAGATGCGAGGACCACTTCTTAATGGTGCTGCACACACCGGGCCCCAGGGGAAAAGAGGCAGTGCCCCGCCTTCTCCAAGGCCTTTTGTATCTTCTCTCTCTCCTCACACACCCTCTCTGGCCAGAGGAGGCCTTGTACATGTCTGCAAAGATGTTATCTCTCTGCATGCCAGGGAGAGAGGCAGCTTGCTCACAGCTCCTCCCTGCAACTTTCTCTGAAGTGCAGAAGGGAGAACAAAAAACATTTGACCTGTTTGAGAAGGCATTTTACAGTCTTCCTAAGCAAAACTGAGTTCTAGCTTTCTGTCACAAATTCTCCTGAAACCATTTCTGTCTCCACAGACAGCAATGCTTTGCCACCTGCAAACCTCCCCAAAATATTGGGCTGAGGTAGAGTCCATCCCCATCTCACCTGGATAAACATCCAGCTGACTCTATAGACGGTGCTTAAGGGTCCTGTAAAAACTGGCTGTTGCTCCCAATTGCTTATGAATTGGCTGGTGTGCTTGACTTTTATGGGGATTTTTTCCCTTTTAGCCATCAAAGCTGAATCCCCCTTTCCCCTCGAGCTCCTTGAACCCCACATAAGCCTGACCACTTGTCATCCCCCCCCAGGCTACCGCATCCGGCTGGGCTCCAGCACGGACAAGAAGGACACGGGGCGCCTGCACGTGGATTTTGCGCAGGCCAGGGACGACCTGTACGAGTGGGAGTGCAAGCAGCGGATGCTGGCGCGCGAGGAGCGCCATCGGCGGCGGCTGGCGGAGGAGCGATTCCGCCCGCCCTCCCCGCCGCCCGTCGTCCACTACTCTGACCACGAGTGCAGCGTGGTGGCCGAGAAGCTGAAAGGTGGGGGACTCAATTAGGTTGGAAAAGACCTCTGAGGTCATCGAGTCCAACCTCTGACCCAACACCACCTTGTCAATTAGAGCGTGCACTGAGTGCCTCATCCAGTCTTTACTTAAACACCTCCAGGGGTGGTGACTCCACCACCTCCCTGGGCAGCCCATTCCAATGCCCGGTCACTTCTTCCTAATGTCCAACCTAAACCTCCCCTGTTGCATATTAAGGCTGTGCCCTCCTGTCCTACTGCTGGTTGCCCGGGAGAAGAGACCAACCCCCACCTCACTGCAACCTCCTTTCAGGGAGTTGTAAAGAGATATTGGGGAATCCACCACTTCCCATGGCTGATTGTTCCCATTGTGAAAAATTGACCTCCTGTGCCCAGTCTCCCCAGGAGTACCCATTCCCCATCATCTTTTCCATGTGACTCCTTGTAAAAAAAAGAAGTTTCCGTATTCTTTGTAGCCACCCTGTATATCCTGGAACACTGTGACGGGGTCTCCCCTAAATCTTATTTTCTCAAGACTGAACAAACCTCTCGAGTGCAAGAAACTTGTGCAGATCAAAACTGTTCAGTACAAGTTTCCTCCAGAAAATTTTGGTTAAGGTTAAAAGGACTAGTATAAGTCCTAATACCTTCTTTGAAGCCCGAGACCCATGTTTGACCTGATGATTTTGGAGCTGGAGGATATTTCCTTTCACAAAAGGGTACATCTGAGTAGACATGTAGTTTTCCAGGAGGTTTCTAGCAGTTGGTCCTCCTCTTGTTGCACCTCAGCAGATGATTTGCTCCATCAGCTTGGTTTTAGACTTTGCCTGCCTTTGTACAGCCATGGGTTCAGGTCATTCCATGCTTCCAGGGGTTGTGATGAGCCCCCTGAAGGAAGCTGACCATTGAAAGAGCAGTTCAGCGCCAGGGAAACGGCCTGAAAACTGCCCAGGCAACCCCATACCTGTGGTGTAAAGTTGTCCTTTCTTGCTGCAGATGACACAAAGTTTTCAGAAGCCATCCAGACCTTGCTGACCTGGATAGAGCGTGGGGAAGTGAACAGGAGAACCGCCAACAACTTCTACTCCATGATCCAGTCGGCCAACAGCCACATCCGCCGGCTCGTCAACGAGAAAGCGGCTCACGAGAAGGAGATGGAAGAAGCGAAAGAGAAGTTCAAGCTGGCTCTCTCAGGGATCCTGGTGCAGTGTGAGTAGTGCTTCCACACTGGGTGTTGGTTGTCTGGTGTAGGGAAAGCTCTCAGTTTCTAGTCTGGAGAGGCCACACTGAAAGGGCTCCAGGAAAAGAAGTGGCAGTGGCTTCCACGCAGCTACAGCTCATTTAGAATCAGGTGTCATTCACGTGGCAAAAATCCCTCGTGGTACTTTTTGCTGGGGTAAGAGTCCCCATCTAGGGGGGAGGAGAGAATGAATGCTGAATTTGTTTCCTCTTTTAATTATTGTCTGTTAGTAGTTCTGTCATCTTTTCAACTCCTCCTGTACACAGACAAGGTAAGTTCCTGGGAATCTGGTGCCTCAGCGAAGTGTGCAGGATTTATTCACCAAAGGTAGGACACAGCAGAGTGTTTCCAACAGCCTGATGCAGAACCTGGGTCTTTCAAGTCCCAGTGCTTTATTAAACGAGGAAATAAGGAAGAGGCATGGACTGTATTAATTTCAGGATGTGTTTTGTAACAGTTCCTCAGACCTGTCATTGCCTCTTACACATCTTTGCTTAAGTAAATCTGAGTATTTTTACTTCTTTATGAGTACCTTCCCCACAATTGTACTAATTTTCTTTGATCCTTTTGCCTAGGTTGTGAACATTCTTAACTTTTGGTTTTATATCTGATAATTTTAGCTGTTACTTGATTTTTTTTTTTAATTCCTTTTTTTTTTAAATTCCGTTACTGTTACAAAATACGGGCACACGGTCCAGAGGGACATACATTGAGCACTGCAGAGTAAGTAGTAATAGAGACTAGTGTGTCACTCCACTCCCTAAAACACAACTGACACCTCAGCCACTCTTAGGTTGCTCTGAGGAGCAGGGAGATGCTGTAACCCTTACAAAACAAAAACTACTGCATTCACAAGCATAAAATCCCAATCAGGTAGATGTGCTTTGTGCTGTGGGTGAGCGCTCAGCCAAGGAGAAGCACTTTGTATATCCAAAATGCTTTGGGAATTTTCTTGGGAAACAGAAAGAATAAATTTCAGGACCAAGAAAAGCTGATGGAAGGTGCCTGGATCCTTTCCCTGTGGGTCACACGGGCTGTGGCACCGTCCTTCGGGATGTCCCAAGGGCCAGAACTCACGGCTGTACCTCATCATGCCATTGTGGATGGCGAGTCCTTCCCCCCTGGACTCCTTACGCTCCCAGCCAGTCTTGCACAGCAGATCTGGATATTTTTCAGCACACACATGCTGCCTTTTTTCCACATGTCCTGCCTTTTTCCCAGCTGAGAGCAGAGCCCGTGTCCCAGTCGGTCGTTACCCGGGAGTGTTTGGCAGGGGCCTGGTGAAGCCCACACTTCTCTTTCCGGGCACTGAGCCTCTTCCCTGAGCGTAGCATCAGCACAGTACAGTGTTATAAGAAAAGGGTAGCCAAACCACCTGCCTGATTCCACTTTTTTACTCCTTTACTCCTCTTGTTCGGCCTCTCTGGATGCTATTCGGGCCCGATTTGCTGCTGATTTGACTCTCCAGTCGAGCAGATAGTGGCCGTGTACCATTCTGCCTCCAAACAAAAGGCTTGGGACCATTTCACGAAAGCTCAGCGTAAGAACATCAGCGTGTGGTGCAAACAAGCAGAGGTTGGTAATCTTTTCTTGTGTTAGAATCCTCCAGCACGGTCTCTTGCTTGTCAGGGTGTTGATGTTGAGTGTGCTCGATGCTCGCGTGGATAACAACACCTTCGTTCACAGCGCGAGGTGGGAGTTGCTCACCCGGCTCTCGTGTTGCAGGTAATAAATTTCCTCTTGGTGTTCGTGTCACTTGTAGCGATACATCGAGACCTGTCTGCTGATTTTCAAGTTGTGCACAGTGATAGTAGTAATAATAGTAATAACAATAAATATTGACTTTTGTTCTGCTGGTTTTAATATTAAAGGGAGAGGGATTTCAAGAGAGATGGTAAAAAAAACCACCACCACAACAACAAACCCTAAATGTCATCAGAATCTGTTTTATCACATTTTTATGTGATATTTTGACCTCAAGAGATGGAATTAATTGCAACTGGACAGCCTGGGAGGCTTGAGGGAGGATGTTTTCATGTTTGTGTATTCATCCCATGTAGTGACATAGTGAAATATTGGATTTAAAAGTGATGACAAGGATGGGGCTGATGGAAGAAGGCTTATCACTCCTACTGCTCTTCCTGCAGGAGGAGGAATAGTTCTCAGTCTGATAAGGTTTGATAAAATCAGATAAGGGAGTCAGGCAGAATGTCAGAAAATAGGAAGCTAAGGTAAAGAAAGGGTGTCCATTGGGAACGTGGTGGTCTGGGCAGATGTTTGTCCTGGGGTCTGTGACCCAGGTGCAGGACCTTGCACTTGGCCTTGTTCAGTCTCATGAGGTTTGATCCCACTCCTCCACACTGTCCTGGTCCCTTCGGTTGTCATTCCTTACCTCTAGTGTAAATCTTCCTGCAGTTCTGTGTGAATCAGTAGTGCTGGATCACACCCAGCCAGGGCCCTTCTGGTAACAAGCAGATGATCCACCCTCTGCCATGGTGGAACACTAAATGGCCGTGTTGTCCTGGGAAGTTTCCAGCTGTGATCTCCCCACGGGAGTGCACTTCTGGGACTTTGAAATTCCCACTGAGCCAAAGCTTTGTAGCAGCTAATGGAGGAGCCAAGGTTTCCTCTCCATCTGAGAAGCCAGGTGCAGTGTGACTCAGACCCTTCCTGCACCCTGAGCCCCAGTGCTACTGTCCTTCCCTGCTTTCCAATTGCTTGCTATGGCTGGGGTGGGAGCTCTCTCTCCAGCTGGAGATGTCTTTTGTTCCAAGGTAAGTTCTCCTGGTGGGAAGAGGCTGTGAGACCACTGGTGAAGCCTCTTTCAAGAGCACTTGCTGCTGGGCTCAGCTTGCTCCTCTCCCCCAGCTTAGGGTCTGCTCTTAAATGAAGATGGACCCACAAATGCTGGTTCTTGTACAGATTTTGACAGATATATATATATATATATATATGTATATAAACATTGCTAGCATATTCAATTTAAAATGTCTCTTACCTCGCTGTAGATATCAGGTGCTGGGTAAAGGGTGTCTCAGCCTTTTGGGGTCACCTTGAGGAGGTCTCTGCTCAAGGGACACCCCACCCTGCTGCTGCACAGGTGGGCTCAGGGGGCTGCAGGTATTTGTAGTGCTAAGAGATGGACCTGTAGGCAAACCTCCTTTGCTGTACATGCAGGTGTGCAGCTGTAGCAGTCTTGGTTTGGTCTGTCCCAGCTCAGGCTGTGACTTCTGGCTCCAGAGTATTTAAGGTTGAGCACTATTCCTTCTGGTTTGCACAGCAAGTCCAACTTGTCTCGTCACAAGAGCAGGAGGAAGATGGAAGAGTCAGTAACTCCAGTAGCACTGACAGATTGACTCATGCTGGATATTGCCCTTGATTTAAGTCATCTGTGCTGATTTTTAAATCGTTTCCCCTTTCTTGTATCATGGAGTTGTGTTTTGCAGACTTGTATTTCAGCAGCTTTTCATCCAGCCAAGCTGTTCCTTCTAATCCATATTGAAATTCCCTCTACTTTCTGAACCTCAGGAAATCCGTAACATCCATAACGATGAGCTGATGGGTATCCGGAGAGAGGAGGAGATGGAAATGTCTGATGAAGAGATAGAAGATCCATCAGAGATGAAAGAAACAGAAGAATCAGGTAAAATCAATTTTTACAGCTCATAAAGTGCTTGTCTTCAGCGGTTTCTTTCAGGAGGCCCATTCTGAGTGTTTTGTACCCCAAAATGGTCATGGGCAGAGCAGAATCAGTCCAGTTCCCTGGAGCTGTTTCCTCTCAGTGCCTGGGTCTGCAGCCAGAGTTTCACTGCTCCCTGCCATGGTCAGGGGAACCTAAAGCAGTATCTGAGCTGCCGTCCCTAGTGGAGTGTACTGGGATTAATGGAGCTCGCTGTGGAGGAGTTGGAAGCTTTCTCCAGAGGATCGAGCAAAGCTCTGCCTTATGAAAGCTGATCCTGGGACAGCAGCTCAGCAGCAGTGTTATACTACAAACCCACAGTCTGCCTTCTCCTGGAGATCACAGAATCCCAGGATGGTTTGGGTTGGAAGGGACCTTAAAGATCATCCAGTTCTACCCCCTGCCATGGGCAGGGACACTTTCTGCTAGACCAGGTTGTTCAAGTCTCACCCAACCTGTCCTTGGACAATTCCAGGGATCCAGGGGCAGCCACAGCTTCTCTGGGCAACCTGTGCCAGAGCCTTCCCCCCCTCACAGGGAAGAATTTCTCCCAATATCCCATCTAACCCTGCCCTCTGGCAGTGAGAAGCCATTCCCCCTGGTCCTGTCATGCCAGGCCTTTGTCCAAAGTCCCTCTCCAGCTCTCCTGGAGCTGCTTTAGGCACTGGAAGGGGCTCTGAGGTCTTCCTGGGGCCTTGTTTTCTCCAGGCTGAACACCCCCAGCTCTCCCAGCCTGGCTCCAGAGCAGGGAGGGGCTCCAGAGGCACTCCAGCCCTGTGATATCCCAAACAGTGCTCGGGAGGCATTTCTTTGGGTGCTCAGCACTTGTCACCGGGAGCTGCTGAGCCCCTGTATACGGTGAGGAGGGGTGGGGGGGAAGAAGCACCCAGGGGCTTGTTGCCCCCCGATGTTTGACTTGTGTTGTGTCCCCAGCGCTGGTGTCGCAGGTGGAGGCGCTGAAGGAGGAGAACGACAGCCTGCGCTGGCAGCTGGACGCCTATCGCAACGAGGTGGAGCTGCTCAAGCAGGAGCAGGGCAAAGCCTCCCGGGACGAGGACACCACCAAGGAGCAGCAGATGAAGCTCCTCCAGCAGGCCCTGCAGGGCATGCAGAAGGTGGGACTGGAATTTTCCAAAGCAGAGGCAAACGGGGCTGGGATTGGAGGGGACACACGTAAAAACACTCCGGCTTTAGTGGGATCCAAACCGGCAAATGGGAGCGACTTTGTCGTTACCAGCGTTGCCAAAAACACCCCTAAACGACCTAACATTTCAGCCAGTGACTGTATGAGCTGATGAGTCACGTCAAAGCGATTCCTAGTTCGTGGATTCCTTGTGTGGTCTTTGCTTGACCCTGCTGTGACTTCCAAAGTACCGAGGCTGTGCTTACATGCTCCATAACTGAGTAAGAAAGTGGGAAATCCATCCACTGGTGATGGAATTATTGTCCCATATTTACAGAGCATGCTAATAGGCAAAGGCATTTCTAAGGTACATTGTAGATTCTTTTGGGTTTATGCTTTACCTTGTAGTAGTTCTGGATATGACCTGTCTGGTCTTCATGGGAAAGCCCTCCTTTGTTTTATAGTCTTTAAATAGTAGGAGGTGGAAGGCAGGTGAAGAACTGAGTTTATCTTTTCTCTTCCAGCATCTTTTGAAAGTCCAAGAGGAGTACAAAAAGAGAGAAGCAGAGTTAGAAAAAGTGAAAGAAGACAAATTAAAAGTAGAAACGTTACTAGAAAACCTGAAGGAGCAGGTATGTGTGTCATCCTAGGCTTCTTTGTGCAGTCTTTGGGTTCCGTGGTCCATCAGGGGCGTGGTGAAGGACCTCTGTCCTCCTGTAATCTTGTAGAGGATGCCCAGCCCTGGTAGGAGCAGTTGTCCTTGGAAAGTGAGGAAAAATGAGCTGTTAAATTAGAGGATGTCTGTCAGTAATGGACCCGCTGGTTGCTTCATGTACCTGTGAGAGCAGCTGTATAGATAAATAGTAACTCTCATTGTACAGTGTTGGGGAATGGGGTTTTCTGCAATCTGAGCTTTACAATATAAGGAAAAAAGTCTCAGTTATCAGACACTGATTTTTAGAGTTGTGGTTTAGGGGCATGTTTTGATCTGCCCTCCGTAAACCACTATGGAATTGAAAGTTTTGGTCAGTGGTGTAATATTTTTATGCTTGCTTTATTCCAAATGTAAATGCATAGTGCTGCTTCTCAGGTGTGATTCACTCTGTTTTCATTGTGGATCCTGCATGAATCTACACTTACTTGGTCCTCTCCTCTAAAGCACAGAGACAATAACACAAGAAACATGAGGCAGTGCTACTCCCCATGGCCCACAGAGCCAGACGCTGGGTTTTATCTCAGATTTTCAATCTTTAGCCCTGTTTTTTGTGCCATGAGCTAGGGAAGACAATGAATGTCCTTCTAGGAACTAAAAATGGCTTTGTATATCCCAGTAGTGGTCAGAGCAGGACCTTCAGAAGAGAAATAACAGATTATCATCAGTAATCTTTCCTTTCTTTGCCCATATATAGCAGAGCATGGCAGATGAAGAGGACAAGGAGGGAGATGCAGCTGATTGTCAAGGGAATGTGAGTCCAAGAGCTTCTTTTCTCTTATTTCAGACAGAATCTCTGCCTGATGGAGTAATGACACCTTAGTGTAAAATGAGTAGTGGTTTATGGGTTGGTTTGTGCGAGGTGTATGAGCCTGGTACAGACAGACTGGCTTCATGTCCAAGGGAGAGGCTCTTCCCCCAGAGGGTAGTTGGGCACTGAACAACATCCCTGGATCAGCTTCCACAGGGCAGAGCTTTGCTTTCTGCTCTGGAATGTGGAAGCTCAGGCCATTGGGGCACAGCCTCAGCCCTGTGTAGCTGAGAACTGCACTGGTGTATGAATTTGAGCAAACCCAGGGGACAATTCAGTTCTATGTTTGTCACTGGCCCCCCTCCAGCCCGTCTCACTGTTGACTGGAAGCCGTTCCCAATTATAGCTGTCCACAGCTCTCAGGCCACTGGAATTCCACATAAAACTCAGGAATAAAAGCAAGTCCTGCTTTTGGTGCACACACCATCTTTTCATCGCTGTCAGACTTGTGTTTATTTCAGAGATAATAAATTATGCCAAATTCTGGTTTAATTCAGAACCACAAACTCAAGTCAGGGATAGTCTGATCCTAAACCCTATGTGGCCCCTGGGCACTTGGTCCATCACATTTGCCTCAGCTGGGGCATTTGAAAATTAAACCTCTTCAGCTGAATTAGCCGTGGCAAGGCTTCTTGCTCTGGTTTGTATTTTGTTATTTAAAACACGGCCCTTCCGGAGCAGACATCGTGCCACAGAGCAGGGCTGGTGCACTGAGTGTGGTGGCATCTGGCTGAACTCCATGGGCTTTTCATCTCATCTGGTAAATCACACACAGGACCATGGACACGGCTGGGCTTTGTTGGAAGTGTTTTGGGACATAAGCAATGGATACACCAGTGATGGGTGCAGTGGCTCAGAGAAACAGGCGAGCTCTGAGCCTGGCCCTGCCTCTGCCTGCTGTGCCAGGGGGGCTGCTCTTGCCTGCAACAGGCCCTGTGGTTTTGTTCTGCAGGAGAGCAGCACATCCAGAGTTTGTGCCTGCAGCCAGGAGAAGGAATGTCCAGTGGAGAAGACGTTGAGCAACAGTCCTGTGAAATCTGAACGAGAAGTTCTCTTAGTTGGTGAGTTCTGAGGGGCTTGGTGGTGATGCTGAGCTGGGGGGCACTTGCTTCAAGGTGGCCTCGCACTCCCTCTGGCCTCCTCTGGTTCCTTCGGTTATCCCAGGGGAGGTGGGAGTCCTGGAACCATGGAAAACCTCAAGCTTTGGCCCAAGGCCGGTGTTCCCGGCTGGTTCTTGTCTCATGACAATGACATTTGTGGTGTTCCTTTCCCCAGGAATAATTTCCACGTTTCTCCACGTGCATCCCTTTGGAGCCAGCATTGAGTACATCTGCTCCTACCTGCAGCGTCTGGACAGCAAGGTGGGCGTGGGGGTTGGACAGGGAGGACTGCAGGAATCTGTTCCCTGCAGGAATCTGCTGGGCAGGGTGAACTTTCTTGGAATCACACGATGGTTTGGGTGGGAAGGGATCTTAAAGCCCATGTCGTTCCACCCCCTGCCATGGGCAGGGACACCTTCTACTAGACCAGGTTGCCCAAAGCAGCTCAGCTTTGGGGTTCACCACCAACCCCAAGTGCAACATCCACATGGCTTTAAAATCCTTCCAGGGATGGGGACTGCACCACTGCCTTGGGCAGGGAAAAATCTCCGTATCTTTGTATTTTTGTTTATTCTGTTGAAGTTTGCTGCCTTTGGGCAGTTTCCCTTTATTTTCCTTGTCCTTATGACCTCCAAGGAGAGGAGCAAACAACCATCTTGTATATCAAACGTCTCACACCCTGTTTGTATGTGTTTTCTCTAAACTGAGCAGTCACTCTGAGCGAAGTTCTTGGGTTTTATTGATCCTGTCACCCTTCCCTGGGCCTGTTCTGTCCCTGATCCTGTTGGTGGGATCCTTTTTAGGGAGTGCTGTGCA